TTTAACTTCTACCGTTAGATTAACAATTTAACACTTCGATAAACCCTTAAATCAGTAAATCACCCCTCTTTTAATTTTCCCTCGCAATTCCATAAACCCTAAATTATCTTCCCCTTTTCTCGCTCCCTCTCTCTCTCCTCTACAATGGATACTTTGCAAAATACTTACAAAGACGATGAAGATGAAGAACCAGAAAACAACCCACCTCAAATTTCCCCAAATCAAAACGACCCAATTCCTGAATCTACTACAAACCACACTGATGAACTCAGTACAATTGAAAACAACGACATTGTTGTTCCAAACCCTAACCCAAATCCACCTTCAAGCCCGAAAATCGCTACAATTGAACCCGAATTACAGCCCGAGTCAATGGCTGTGGAATCGGCGGAGAATTCGACCCAATTGGCGTTGAAGTCCGAAACTTTAGGGTCGGAAGATATTTCTTCTGAATCAATATCTGAAGATGAGCAAAACCCGGAAAAGAAATCATTAGGTTTGGGGGAAGATGAAGAAGAATTAGACCCACCTTCGAAGAAGCAGAAATCGCTTTCCAATTTTGAAATTGAACAATTGGATTTGGATTCACAATCTGCGATGAAATCGACACCGGTTAGTGGGAATGGAGGTGGGAGTATCAAGAAATCGTCGAAGAAGAAGAGCAAGGGGAACAATGTGTGGACGAAGACGACGTCGAGGAAAGGGAAGAAGAAGTCTAAGAACAACAACAATAACAGTAATCACAATCACAATGCCGTTCCCCCGAAATCGGAAGATACTGTGTTGATCACTCCGATTCCGAGGTTTCCTGATAAGAATGATGATTCCCCTGAATCGAAGATATGTCTTTCCAAGGTTTATAAGGCAGAAAAGGTGGAATTGAGCGAGGATCGAATGAGTGCCGGGAGTTGTAAAGGGTATAGAATGGTGAGGGCGACGAGAGGGGTGAGTGATGGCGCTTGGTATTTTGAGATTAAGTTGGTTAGTTTAGGAGAGACAGGGCATACACGGTTGGGGTGGTCGACGGAGAAAGGGGACTTGCAAGCTCCGGTGGGGTACGACGCGAATAGTTTCGGATATAGGGATATTGATGGGAGTAAGATACATAAGGCATTGAGGGAAAAGTATGGGGATGAAGGGTATAAAGAAGGTGATGTTATTGGGTTTTATATCAATTTGCCTGAAGGGAATTTGTATGCTCCGAAACCGCCTCAATTAATTTGGTATAAGGGGCAGAAGTATGTTTGTGCCCCGGACCCGAAGGAGGATCCCCCAAAGATCATTCCCGGTGAGTTGCTTTTTTCCTGTCCAACTTTTGTTGTTCTTGTTTATTAGCCTGCAAAAGTTTATAAGTATAGATATCTTGTTTGTTGGTCGGTTTTGTTTAAGCAACATTTTGGGGTTATGTTATGATTGTGTTTGTGCAAAGTGTAGGTTAAAATGAAGTGGTAATGATGTTTGTGCGAATTCGAATGCTGTTTTACTTTGCTTTCAAGTAATGCAAAGGGGGGTTGCTATTGTAGTTTGAGTCAAAGTTTAATTCCAATACTTAGTTAACAACTTATACTAGTGATTGAACTTTAGTGCATCAGTTTGTTGAGTACTTCCACCAAAGCAATAAGGCATATGTTTAATGTATGTTATAACAAACAAAACAGGTATGTTAACATAGCTGCATCCTAGTTTCACTTAATAACCCGCTTTCCTCAATATGGGTTAGCTTTACCTCCAATTTATGACGATTGGTGACTACCTAAGAACCTTAACCGTGGCAACATACTTGTAAACAGCATTATGTTTTCTGCCTAGTTGGAACAATGAATCCAACAAGTATACATGATGAGTGATTCCCACCTAACTTGGATCGTAAAAAGTTGGCCTTTGGCATCTATGTGTATCATTATTCTTTACCAGCAAGCTCTGGTCTCAATTATTATTGATCCCCACGAGATTCTCCACCCAAAGGCTTTAGTACACAACATCATGTCTCACAGAAGATGTTAAGCTTCTGATATTTTTAGTTTAGATCATGTTTGCTAAAGATATGAAGCTGATGCAAGGAAATTTAGCATGTGTATCTTGTATCTATTTCATGGAAGGTTGTGGTTATGTGGATGTTAAGTCTCTTATTGGATGTGCTCTGATGGTTTTCATATCATGCTGTTGACTTTCATGATAAAGATTGATCTTGTTTTTGGGCGGGATGTTGTGGAAAGAAAGAAGACATAGTTAGATGCCAATGTCATGAGTAGGCAAATGGCCAAATGTGTCAGATTATGGTGACTTTGAAATCCTATTGAAGAAAGTGTTTCTAGAGGAGTATTGGGTGGTTGACAAGCTAAAGGGAAGCTTCTGTTGGTTGATGGATGATATGTGTATTTTGGTCACTAAGGCTGAATTTTATTATGTATGCAGCATCTTCTCATAGAGTCTTAGGATATGAGAACTTCTATTACATATCTGAGTTATGCAATGAACAGCAATTGCTTGCATGTGTGAGAAGGAAAAGTTGTGAATATAAATCAACTTGACGGAGTATTAGGAGCCTAGGAGGCTTGCTACCTTTGATAGGGTGATTAACTGATTACTGAGAAGTATAGTAGGACTAATACTCTCAAGTTGTACACTTGTAGGGCTGTACTAGACCTAGTAGGATAACATTACTAGATCATATAATTTGAATTCTTGGAACCTTAGTACACCAGAAGCAAGGCACCTGAATTTTGACCCTCCTGAAATTGATCCAATCTGACCTGAAAATAATTAATTGAATTTTCTGCAGAAACTGACTAGCTGCAGACTCCAAATCTTACTTGACCCAAAATAACCTAAATGATAACCATATGTATCATAACTCATAACCCAAATATGATGTGAATTGTCAGTTTGAAGTCTTGAACCATCTTTTTCTCAGGTCTAGAGGACTGTAATTTTGTTCCTTTTCATAGTTGTGTATGTATGTATGTGAAATGTGGCAATTGGACTATTGGAATTATAATGCCTTTGTGTCTTTTATTCTGTTGAGTTTATCTGTAAGATATTGTGATCTACTAACAAACATTTATGTTGATTGTAATTAAGAATTTTTCCTTATCCAATTTGCAATGCAGGAAGTGAAATATCCTTCTATAAGAATGGCATTTGTCAGGGAGTTGCTTTTAAAGATCTTTTTGGTGGACGCTACTTCCCCGCTGCATCAATGTATACCCTTCCTAATCAACCCAATTGTGTGGTGAAGTTCAACTTTGGTCCTGATTTTGAATTTTTTCCCACGAAATTTGAAGGCCGTCCGGTTCCAAAGCCCATGATCGAAGTTCCGTATCATGGATTTGACAATCGAGTTGAAAATGGTGTATTAGATGAGGACAAGCAGTAGGATGTTTTCTTATAGTGTTGTATGAAATATCTGGTGCTAGGGATCCTTGTCCTTTTCTTTGCTTATTTGCTTTGAAAGAAAAAAAGATAATCCTCCTAGGAGTGCCCTCATGCTACAGAGAATGAATTTGTACTATGATTAATGATTTATCTGATATGTTCTCTTGGTGAATACAAATGGTTATTTTTATTCGTTGCATTCTAAGCAAAAAAGTTCATCTTTATTCTTTTTGTTTGATGATTTCTCATTCCTGCTATGCTGTTACTTTGAAGTATCTATGATTTCACTTAAAGTTTTATTTGGGAAAGTTTGTTTGTGAAGTGATGAATGCTATTTCTAATACTATCGGTTGAAATCTGATGCTTTAGAGCTATCACAAGTGTGTGTTTTTTCAGTTTTCTATTTTGATTTTACACCATTGAAGTATAAAATTGATTGCCTGAGTATCTGCATGGACCTTGACTATTTTGTATCTACTTCAATTGAAAATATTAATTGAATGTATCTATTTTGTATCTATTTTGTATCTACTTCAGTTTTCAGTTTTCTATTTTGTATCTATTTTGTATCTAGTGTGATATGGCTGTCTTTTATTATTATCTTTACAATGATGCTACCTCTTACTGGCAGGTGTAGCACACTAGTACCTGCACCTGCAGAATGTCAGACATTTTAACATTTCTCAGGTGACTCAACTGTATAATTCATGGCGTTCTTCTTATCATCTTCAGGCAGGCTTCCATGAGATAAAGTGAACTCAGCATGAAGGAAATTCACTCTGACTGCAACGTAGCCAATGCGGCTGATTTGAGGATGATGGTCACCAAGGTAAGAATTATTTTAGTTTTCTAATTTGGTTTTTAACTAATCTTTTTGCTGTAGTATTTTAATCGAATATGTTTCTCTAATATGCATCAATGACCATAACTAGACATTTTACCAATTGTTGCATTTTAACTGAAGTTGTTATTAATCCTAATCCTCTGATTGTCCTGCACTGGGTTTACATCCCTTCTGGCATTCCTGGAATGACAACAAGGGCCAATGGGTGAATTTTTTTTATAACTTGCCTGCTCCCTTTCGCCCTAACTGCTAAAAATATCTAAAAATCTCTCATACTTTCTGCTTAGATGCTATGGGAAGGGCTTTTGCAAGTGTTCAACATATAAGTATGTGACTATATTTTACCTTCCCTCTTTTGCCGTGTTAGTTGCTAGGACCTTTGCCAATAATTATTTTAAACTCTGTCCACTATACACAGCAAAATTTTATTGTCGAGAGCTTATGTTTCCATGGTATCTCAATCTCACCCTTGTTCTCTGCATAATACTAGTTCAGCATACTCATTTTTTCCTTCCCCATTTTTCAATAAAAATCTCATCAAAATGAGATTTTATCCATTAGGAAGTATTGTAAGTGTTGGAACTGTTGATGATACTATCTAACTATTCATTTCTTGTCAATGTGTCTTTCAACTCTTTCATGATCTATGATGGCTGACACTGCTTCTGTACCGTAGTCTGTAACTCTGTAAAACTAGCTTATTTTTTACAATCAGAGCATCATTATTGGTTGATTCTGTGTTGCTGTATAAAGTAGATGGTGCAAGTGTGCAAAAGAGAGGTTGAGAGGGAAGAGCCTGGGGACATGGAATATTATTTGGATCATATTCATATATCAGTGAATGGCTATAAGCCTATAATTGTCCGTGACCTATAAAAACAAACAATCTTTCTTCTACATCACGTGTCTTCTTGGTTCAACATGTATTCTGTATAGAGTTGCATTTCTGTTACAGAAAAACTTTGTAACTTGATTTGTTTCCTATATATTAGGATAATTCGTACTGCTCTTCAATTTGAAATTTGCTCCAATGGGCCTAACACCATCTTTGTGTTGAAGGTCTTGAGGGATGTAAATCATAGGTAAAATGCACAATGATAGAACTCTCCTATGAACAATAAGCTTACGGAATTGACACTGTAGATACACTTGAAAAATTTACTATAGCTTCTTCTAGGGGATTGGAGAACTAAGCCCTTCTTGATATGACAATGGATATTGAGGTTGATATCTCCTGGAAGGAAAAGCTGTCCTCCTGAAAGAGGGTCTCTTCTTTAGATGGTTCAGAGTCTTCTTTCTGTAAAATGTCTGAAACATTGGTGTTGCTTTCTCTCTGATCTTGAAGACAACCAAAAAGAGTAGCCTGTAAGTTAAGATGAGCAGGAAAATTCCACCCAAGTCCCACCACTTGGACCGGTCCAAGGGAACCCCAAACATTTTTGTGACAATATAACTTCCTGTTAATTTGGGATCACCAGGTATAAGTGGATCAAACGTGAGACCAACAAGATCGTTTTTGTATCCACCCTGCATATACCAAACTTTGAATTAGTGAAAGTCTACATTTAATATGAAGGTGGTATGATTTTTGAACCCTCTAACCTGCTTGTTAAATGATCTGAACTTAGTGCCAACATTAATATGTGTTAAAAGTGTAACTTATGTTTACTCTTTAGTATAATTTGGCATGCATAGTAGCATACATTGATAATTATTACCTGTATTGCCCAGGATCCAAAACTAAGGTATGAAATAGGATAGCGCCAAAACACCTTAGGAAGATCAGGTAGTAGACGGAAAAAGCCTGAGGTCATCATCATTATTCCCTGCATAATAACAATTTGTGATCAGAAAAGACTTGTATTGTAAGTACGTGAAGATTAGTCATGAAACAATTAGTTCGTCTTACAATGACTCCAGCCCCTGTGACGAGTCCCATTAAAAAGTTGGGAACTAGTGAAGCCACCACCATCATACAGCTCTCTACTGCTGAAATGCTTGCAAAAAGACTGAGGCAGTAGTATACGTAGTGAGAGAATTCTGGACGGAATTTCACCATGTACCAAGTTATAGTCCCTGAAGCTGTTGCTATTGCTACCAGGTATGGGAATGAAGAGAGAAAGTTTGATAGAATATAAACTACAACTCCATAGTACCCACTGAGCCTCTCGCGATAAAAGATCTGCAATAGAAAGAAACTTAGACTCATGGCATCGTGATTTAAAACAACAGTCCTTTCCTAAGAATTTAGAATTCAATGCTTGCCTTCATTTCTTCGATGAAGGATGGAAAACCTCCAATAGACATAAAAGTCATGAAACCTGATACGAATCCACCACACGCTCCTCTGGCCAAGATTGCACTGTAACCAGTGCCAACATCATAATAGATGGTACCCACACATATAGATACTACAATGTAGACAACTATCCGTAGCCAATAGTATCCGATGTCTCGGGACATATTTACAAAAGACCTCCTAGTCAGTGTAGTTAACTGCTTCCACCAGCTGGCTTGGCTACCCTTTGGTGCTTCTGTTGGTAGTCCTGCCTGCAAATAGATGGTTATCATTTAGGATTGACAAAAGTTGCAGGGTTTTTTTTTTTTTTTTTTTCCTTTTCTTTTTTACTTTCATGTTTAGATGAATTTTAGATTACATTGACTTAGCAAGCTTGTGTCTAGGATGCTTACAATTGATGTTATTTCTTGGATCCTTGCTCGGGTCCGTTCTGCATACTCTGACCGCCTATACTTCTCAATAAGCATTGCTTTTATCTGTGCTGTTTCCATTTCCATCATAGGATCTGATAACGTTGTGATTTGCTGCAGAAATTGGACAAGGAAAAGGGGAAAAACAATATTAGATTGAGAAATAATTTAGTTTGAAAATCTTAGGATAACATGATCTTAATTTGTGCACATACTCGGGCTTGGTAGGATCCCTTCAGTGTAGCTGTAACCTTATCAAAGTCTGAGTTGATACAGCGCAGAAAATGGTCTGAGGGATTCCTTTTACTTGGGCATGGGAATCCAGCTTGTGCAAAGAACTGTAATTGTTAATTATAGATTATATATTTTTTTATCTTTATAAATCTAGAATAGAAATCAATATTAATTTTTTGCATTTAACATAGTATTCGTGTTCATTTCCATACCAGAACACCCTTTTTAGCATCGCCAAAGTAGACCAGTTCACCAGAAGACAGTAGGCAAAGGTCATCAAACAAAGTGAAAACTTCACTGCTAGGCTGGTGAATTGAAGAAACGACTGTCCTACCCCCATCTCGTGCCACACTCCTAAGGGCCTGGACTACAAAGAAAGCTGAAGCACTATCAAGCCCAGTGGTTGGCTCATCAAGAAACAAGAGACGAGGTCGTGTGAGTATTTCAAGGGCAATGCTTAATCTCTTTTGCTCTCCACCACTTATGCCCCTCAGATGCCAATTGCCAATTATCGTATCTGCACACTCTTGGAGACCCATTTCCATTATGGCCCCTTCTACAATCCCTTCGATCTCTTCTTTCGCCAAGTTTGGTGGAAGCCTCAAATATGCTGAATAAGTGAGTGTCTCTCTTACTGTTAGAGTTCCAAGGAGTACATTTTCTTGCGTCACATATGCCTGAAGTTACAGTTAAGTCAACAAGTTTATTCTTTCGTTGTATATTTATGTATTTTATGTCCAAAATTTCATATTAACTACTTACCACTCCACCATATTGCAGTCCTTTCTTCTTGCCATTGAGTAGAATATTTCCGGTCATGACAACATTTGCTGAGAGTCTGCCTGCAGAAGGGACAGTCGGAGAAACCAGATGCTATCAAACTTGTATATACAAAGCAGATTTGCTGGTAAGCAATAAAACTCCAACTTCGTAATTCAATTCTTGCATCTTAGCTTACATGTTAATTTAAGTTTTAGAAAGCTGTGTTCTTTTTTATACTACTGAACTATTATCTTCCCTTAATTCCTTACTGTCAGTTTAGCTCTGTTTTAAGCTAGTGTGGCCAAACATAGCCGAATTCCTTGTTATGATTATGAATTTACATTCAACAAATCAACCATGTAAATGAGTGATCCATGAATTTGCTTAATATCCAATACTTAATTATCTTTAATACATAATCTCTCCCTCCTACTATCAAGTTTTAAGGTGCTAGTTTCTGCACCGACACTTAAAAACTGACAAGTAATATCGCATTATTATCTTAACCAAACAAATAATATTGCACTATATTTAATTTAAAACATCGTTAAATGGTCAAATATTGCAGAACAAAGGGAGTACTGTATAAATTTTCAACCACCATTTGAGTTACAATTGACTTGTATGGGACACATTAACTGCTGAAGCTCAAAGTTGAGCAGTAAAATGGACACAAATTTAGAGAAAAAATTCTAAGTTTTTGGCATACCCTACATTGGTTAGCTGTTAATGAAGCTGGCAGTGAGTTTGGTGGAAGCATTAAAACTGAGTTTATGGAGGGTAGTTGAAGTTCAGTTATCTCTTTACAACTTATTTAAGAGAGAAAGAGAAATGTCCCTTTTTTGCAGTTAGATAGATCTTAATGCTCTTGTTTCCCGGGCTGGTGCACTCCTTTAATTTAGGATGCTTAAAATTCCACCAGTTGTATGTAGACGAGATTAGTACTCATATCTTGACTACACTCGTTATATTCCAGCTGTTTCGTTTTTATAGGCGTATTACGAAATTTATATAGTTATTCTTTAGAATAAAGAGTAGATTGTTATATTTTGTGACCAAAATTGAGTTAATTGCTCTTAATTTTGGATATGGTCCACCAAAATGGTCCATTCAATGCAATCTAGATATACCTCTAAAAATTGCACCAAATAATTAATCAACATGTGCTCTTTAATGATTTGATTTATTGTTTACAAAAGGACCACTTAACGTTAAGATTAGTCACCCAAATTCAAGAAAAGATAAAAATGTGAATACATCAAAATGAAGCTCCACAAAAAAAAAAAAAAAAAAAAAAATTACCTTCTCAAGAAGGAAATGATGCTTTAAATTGAGACATAAATGTAAAAACACTATACACCTAGAATACAAGATTTCCAAAACCCATTTTTGGGGTTTCTTTTCTTTATCAATTTATTTGCATATGATTTGTTCATGTACTTATTCCTATTTTAAGCACACAATCAATGTCTCTTCCTTTTGAACTTAAGCAAAAAAATTGATAGAGTTAATAAAGTTAAAAAAGATTCAAATCTTCAATATTACTATTATCATTATGGACAAACAATTGGCTAATCATCTAACATTAACTCTTAAAATACCCATCAAAAAGATAATAATTAAATCACAAAGTTGAATATTCAATTTATTTATAGATCTAACTCCTAAACACAAATGGTGAATTATTATAGTGGTTTCCCAAATCCTACCATATAATAATTGCTCTTATAACACCTATTTCCTTGTTTCCTTTTGAGTTTTTTAATGAATGTTTTTACATAGTTTGTAATATTTTTATTGTTTATTGAGCATATATATGTTTTAAAAAATAGATAAAAATTGCAGATAAAGTTATTTTAGCTGGTTTAATCTTCTAGTTTGGCAATCTGTGAGATTGAATATCGCTTACATCAATTATATTCGAGTGATGAGAAAAAAAAATAATCAAGTGAAGTAGGAAGATAAGAAAGAAAAACCTGCCAATGAATCAAGAAGAGTAGATTTGCCAGAACCAGAAGGACCCATAATAGCCATAATCCTACCAGGCTCAGCATAACCATTTATCCCTTGAAGTATCCTCTTTGTTGGCTTATTCCCAAAACTTGGTAGCACCACCGTTAGGTCTTCCCATACTAGATACGCCACTGCTGCACCACCAATACCACCGCTTCCTCCACCGCTTGTCTCCGAATCATCGTCGTCTTCATAGACGGCGTTTTTGTAATTCCTGTGTGAACCACCTGGTTCATTTGTTGCTAATGCTGTTGCTGCCTCGATCTCCATACTACTATTACTATTACGATTACTATTATTATTATTATACATAGCTGCTCATATAAACCCTCTCAAAAGAATAGCTAAGTATGTAGTATACGATCATATAACTTATAAGACTTAACTCCTAAGAGTCCAACTGCCAACAATGTAACACTAGTTTTCTTTTGTATGATGTGATATAACATTAATAGTGATAATAATGTATTAATTATGATAATGTGGTGTAGTTGAAGTATACTAGTCTTTGATGTTTTGCACTAGAACTAGTAGTACAAATTCTAATTTACATAAGTTTTTTAGAGAGAGAAAGAGAGCAGTGAGTTAAAAAGGTTTAAAAACACACGTAATGTGATATATGGGTGGCAAGTGGAGAGAGAATTTAATGCAAACAACGCTGTTTTTAGGTAGAGGGAAGGAGTATGAATTTGTTACACCGCTACAAAATAAAAATTAAATTGAATGTGGTTTTCACATTCTTGCTATTTATGGCTTCATCTACTATCTAATTCTTTCTTATTGTTGAGAGTTGTCAATTTGTTATGGGTCTACTTGAAACAATCAAATACTATCTTCATTCGTTTTGGTGGGTGCATTATGTATTTTGATTTGTTGAATATTGATACGTGATTTAATGATTGTAGTCTGTTTTTGAGCTGTTTGTGGTGATGTTGGTTTGGGATCGATAAAGGTTGTGATCGAGTAGGTTTGAATGTACCAATCAAATGAAGTTATTGAGTTGTGGTTATCAGTATTAATACATATTAAGGGTCTGTTCTCTTACGTTGAAATTCAGTTCAGTTCAGTTCAATTCAGTCAATGAGAACAGGCCCTAACTAATATGATAGTACTTAAAAGTATCTCTAAATACTACTAGCATAATAAGGTTAAAAGTGTAAAAATATTATTGCGTATTTGCGTGAAAGAAGGATATATTAGTTAGAGTTCGTGATCAAGTTACTCCAAGGTCGATGATTTAAGTTACAGTTAAGGGACCTAAAAGAGCTTGGTTTTGAATTCGAGTATGTAATGAGAATTAAAATGTGGGTAAAAGGGACAATTCCTATAGCATATTCTCATAGGTCGGTAGTCGAGACATGAGCTTTAAAAAAGATGCGGAATACTAGAGACCATTTTTCTATCAATGAAAGGGACGTGGAGTAAATATTTTTTACACTACACAAACAATGGAGTTGCAGAATTTTATTTTCATGAATTCTCTACATCCAAATATCTAATACTAAGTACAACGTAATTACATGATGACAATTGACAAATAGCCATATGCACACATCATGGGTAGTGTACTAGTGCGGTAGTAGTGTGATATTGTCCCTCATTAAATTTGGCCTTATCAAGGCCCAATACCACAATGATCAAGGCCCAATACACAGTTATTGGGCCCTGAAAATCTAGAAGTCATTAGACCCACTAGGCCACTAGAATCATGGGTCTTGAACTATGTCAGACAGACAGACAGACACTTAGAATGTTGGACCTTGAATACTTTTATTAGGGTCCATGTCAATTGTTTTTAGTATAATTAATGTGAATTGAACTCTGTTAAGGTGTTTGGGTTGAGCTTATATGAGCACAGTTTGTTAATCAACATTGCATCAACATGGTTAATCCTGTATTACACTCCATAGAATTCTAGAGTTACAGGGTGTGGCATGATTTGATCATTGTGATCTGAAGAACTCAGTTCTTTAAGCTTGTAAATTGCATCATGTATTCATGTGTAATTAACCTTAAACCATCCTTCGTTTTGGCCTTTGCTATATGGCAGTGACTAAGGAATCACTAATTCTGCAATGTTCTTGATGAGGTTGAGCAGTCAGGCCATGTTACGATCATTAAGGTCGTCGAACTGCTCCTTTTCACCAATTTATGTTATGTTGATAACTTGATATGTTTATGCTCTACCATGTAATGGAGCATATATGGTGCTTTATGCTTGATTCATGATATGTCTGTTTATAATTTTGTTATGTTTTGATCCTTTTGCTGGATGTATTTTTCGCCAGCAAATTCATGTATGATTTGAATGTTGTCATAATTTCATGAAACTAAAGCAAAACTTTCTGGCTTACATAAGTTTCGCATTGCATACATATTGAACTATGCCAAATTGCTGAATCTTTTTTGGTTTTGCGTATGCAATCGCTCCTTACATGTGTAAATGTAAATCTTACAGTTGAACTTCGTCTTCTAGGATTGAGCTGATGAAGTGCATAATAAGGTTGGAGATAAGACAGGCAGACACCCCTTGGTCTAAGATATATGCCTTTTTGTAAGTACTTTACTTTGCTGATTGTAGAAGCGTTTTGTTTTTGCTTTCGGGCTTGGAAAAGCTATCAGTAAGAAGAGCCTTATGTAAGGCAGTGTTTCCCACTTTTCACCCGGACCACTGCACCACTCTTAAATGTTGCAATGCAACATCACAATTGATACATCAATTGTTTGAATGTTGTTATGCAGTGCATTTCACCTCCTGTATCCGCGTTGGACCCTCAATACATATGAACACTTGACAGTTCATATGTTTTCAGTTAAAACAGGTTATTACACACTTGGACACGAGTCTGTGTTTAGAAAGTGTACACACTTCTGAAGTAGAGGAATATCTGAATACATTTGCTGGTTTTGGTGAAATTAATTTCTTTTTCTGCATGTAAGAGGATGACCTAAGGACGTTTAATAATCGTTTAGAAGATCAGAATCATTACAGGTCAACATGTAGACGCGATTGCAAAAAGTTGTTAGCTAGCCATTATAAATCTTGAATCATAACAATCATTAAGGTGTACATTAGTACATAGTAAGAATGATTATCAATTTATCACCATATTAGCGAAATTCATTCTATTAGGACTTAACTGTTTTGTATTTTTGGTTTTTCCAAAACCCAAATCTACAATATCTACGAGTTCTCTTACTCCCTTCGTTTCAGACTAATCGAAATACAAAGTAGTAGACTTGCCCCTATATGGACCAACAAGGGGATTTGCATTCTTAAACAAAAGGAGTTATGTTTGTATCAAAACCAAACATTCCTTCTTACTCCACAAACTGCTAATTCAACGGCCACGTGTCTTTACCTTACTAACTAAACAACCTTTTTCCAATAACGCAGGTTTTACTTTCATTTCATAACCGATCTTCCACTCCACCTCCCTTCCTCCATTTTCACCTGCTTTCCACAAATCCTAGCCGTAGATTCTTCCATCTCATCTCCATTCTCCACGTGTCCCTATTAACACGTGTCATCATATCAACGCCCAACCTATTTATCCGAAAATCCCATCAAGATTCCTATTTAAACACCCCCCACTTTCACTTTCCATTTTTCAATCTCTACTTCATCCCAAAAAAAAAAAGAAAAATCAAAATTATTTATTTACATTTATTACTTTTTGAGATCTTCAAATTTGAATTAAATTCAGTCCTACGTTAATGGCGATGAGCTTAACACACCAGATCGGAGCACTCTCAGGAACACCACTTCCGGTGGAAACAACCGCAACAAATGCCGGAGATTCATCGTCAACACTTAACGCATCGGCGGTGTGGAAATCTCCAACACCGCCGTTAAAATGCAAAGTGATACGCCAAAGCGGTGACCTATCCGACATGCTATCACCCCCAGTGAGCCCATGTCGGTCTCCTCTAAGAGCGGATCTTACCGCAGCATGCCAGGCATTTGCGACTGCTGCGGAACATGAAACCGCGGTTGAGAACGAGTATAGAATATCATCAAAGGAGAAGCACGAGAAAGGCGTGCCGGTTTACGTGATGATGCCGTTGGATAGTGTTAAGATGGATAATACGGTGAATCGGAGGAAAGCGATGAATGCGAGTTTACAAGCGTTGAAGAGCGCGGGAGTAGAAGGGATAATGATGGATGTGTGGTGGGGTTTGGTGGAGAGAGATAATCCTGGGGAGTATAATTGGGGTGGTTATGTTGATTTGATTGAGATGGCTAAAAAACATGGGTTGAAGGTTCAGGCTGTTATGTCATTTCATCAGTGTGGCGGTAATGTCGGCGACTCCGTCTCGTATGTTTCTCTACATCCTCTCTATTTCATGTCAAATCGTTGCAAATATTATATCTGATTTCAATCAAATTTTGTCATCCGAGGTGTTAAGTTTGTTTATGTATGTGTTTGTATTTAGGAATGTTTATGATTGATGAAATATGATTTGTTATATTTGTTTTTAATACGTTAGATTAAGATTAGATTTTCTACAATTATCATTTTTTGGGATAATTGGATCAAGTTTGTGTTTGATTTGTTGATGAATTGACATTTCACATAGTACACTAAATGTGTCAGAATTATGAAATTATTCGTGTAAAGAAATCCTACTTTCGTTTCATATTATTTGCAACTATTAGACATTTTTTCTCTCTACTTTATATTAAATCGTTGCAAATAATATGAAACGGAGGTAATAAGATGATTGCTTAAGGAGGAGTGTGGTTGTACACTGTATATCAGACTGAGTTTAATTTGGGTTGTTTTGTGCTCAAGTTGAGTTTGAGTTTCTATTAAAAATATTAATTGGGTTCGTGTCGCGTCGCGTCAAAGATTGCAAACTTCAAACTAGTAATGTTGAAAGCAATGTTTGTAATGAATTTTTTTTTTCTTCATTAGTAAGGTTGTGTTCTCTTCACCTACGATTTCACTTATGTTATCTAAACTTTCTAATCTAAAGTCTACTACGAAACTTATTAATTTGTATTATTGTGTATGTTATTTTATCTTGAAATTATTAGCCCTTATCTTATTGTGCGTAAGTGCACTGGAAGCTTCCGACGAAGAGTACGATTTGAATATTTTGGAGATAGATAGGTAGAACAATCCACACATTTGTCAATATATGATTGAGAGTGTTAATGTTGATGGATAATTTGTTGTTTGGTTACAAGAGTTTGGATATGTGGAAGATTTTTGTTGATGTGTTAGTGTAAATGCAATGGAGCCGTAGATTAAACGATTCTTTATTAGCCATACAATTTTTATGTAATTTATTTTGTTGTGGCTAAAAGGGAACTATAAAAAGAGTGTACTTTTCTTGACATTATTATATAATTTGGCAAAATTCACGTGAGGCTGATGTCAATTAAGAGTCTATGACAAATTGACAATCTTGCGGTACTTGACAAAAGTTGGAGTGGATTGCTTTGGGATTTTCTTCTTTTCTTGAGTTTGTTGGTTGCTTTCACTTTCCCTTTAAAATTTATTCAATTTTTAGTATTGAAGTTTGATGTAGTGTAGACTCTTTAATTTCATAATCATTTAAAGGATGTGTTTACTAAATGTATGCTAGATTTGATTAGAGGTCAGTTTACGAAATTGAGTTTATTTACTGTAGTCTCCATCATATCATTAAAGGATGATAACGCGTGTCCTATCTTTTTGGGATGGAGGATCTTCTCTTTTTAATGAGCTATACTCACATCAGAGTTTGTTTTGTGATGTTGATTGAATTATATATTTAATGACTTACTTTTTTTGGAAGGATTAGAAGTTATGCAACATATTGCTAATGACTTATTTTACATTTGTAAGGAACTAAGGACTGTAGATGATTTGTTTTTGGGCATGCTAAATAGTTAATAGATCATGCAGAAGAAGGTAGATTAATGTGTACACCAAGTTCCTTATGGAAGAAGGGATTGAATAATTCATAAGATATGGTACTTGTGCATGATTCTTTGTCAGATTTATTCATAGTTTGATTTCAGTAATTGATGTCTTGCTTTGCCTTTTGCGTGTACAGAATTCCTTTGCCAAAATGGGCAGTGGAAGAAATGCAGAAGGACCCAGATTTGGCATATACCGATCAATGGGGCAGAAGAAATTTTGAGTATATATCACTTGGTTGTGATACCCTGCCAATCTTGAAGGGTCGAACACCAGTGCAATGCTATTCTGACTTTATGCGTGCTTTCCGAGATCAGTTCCATCACCTCCTTGGTGACACTATTGTGGTAAGATCATTTTTAAGTTTTAGGAGCCTTAATTTGTTGGTTGAGTTGGAGTTGAGTCAACCAAACAATAATTAAGACCTTTTTTTTTCCTTCTCAATTTGTACTTGTTTTTACTGAAGACAAAAACATCTGCTTGTAACAGGAAATACAAGTAGGGATGGGTCCTGCTGGTGAGCTACGATACCCTTCATATCCGGAACAAGATGGAACATGGAAGTTTCCTGGAATTGGAGCCTTCCAGTGCTTTGACAAGGTATACTTTTTTCTCTTATTCGTTTATGTAGTCTAACGAGTCTGATAAACTCTTTGGGCTGAACTTTATTTGTGTACGTTGTTCCTAAATTGGTTGGTTGCTGGTATGCAGTACATGATTAGCAGCTTAAAAGCTGCCGCAGAAGCTTCTGGTAAACCAGAATGGAATTCAGGTCCAACTGATGCAGGCCACTACAACAATTGGCCAGAAGACACTCAGTTCTTCCGTAAAGAAGGTGGAGGCTGGAACAGCCCCTATGGTGAATTCTTCCTCACTTGGTACTCCCAAATGCTCTTGGATCATGGCGAGAGGATCCTCTCCTCAGCCACTGAAATCTTTAGGGACACAGGCGTCAAGATATCAGTAAAAATTGCTGGTATTCACTGGCACTATGGGTCCCGCTCCCACGCCCCTGAGCTGACAGCTGGGTACTACAACACAAGGTATCGTGATGGGTACCTTCCTATTGCTCAAATGTTGGCGCGCCATAATGCTATTTTCAACTTCACTTGCATTGAGATGCGTGATCATGAGCAGCCACAAGATGCCTTATGTGCTCCTGAGAAGCTTGTGAGGCAAGTGGTTTCAGCCACTCAAGAAGCACAAGTTCCATTAGCAGGGGAGAATGCTCTGCCACGGTATGATGAACATGCACACGAGCAGATTTTGAAGGCCTCGGCATTGGAGGTGAATGAAAACTCAGGTGAGAGAGAAATGTGTGCATTCACATACCTGAGGATGAACCCGGACTTGTTCCAAGCTGACAATTGGAGGAAATTTGTGGCATTTGTGAAGAAAATGAAAGAAGGAAAGGATGCAAAACGATGCTGGGAGCAAGTTGAGAGAGAGGCCGAGCATTATGTGCATGTTACACAGCCTCTTGTTCAAGAGGCTGCTGTTGCTCTCATGCACTAGATGTTGTGTTTAGAGAATACAAGGAGTACTTACAATATCAATTTTTACTTCATTTATCAAAATCAATTTGTAATGTAAGCCATGATATAAATGTTCAGCTTCTTTTACTCCTGAATTCCTGATCAGTACCCCCTTTATTATTATGGGGGCTGTTTAATATGTAAAAATGAAACCATTATCATATAAATCTACAAAGCCTGAATATAATTTAAATTTGCATTAGCTGAAAGCTTGGTCTAAATATTTCCTCCAGTAAGACAAACAAATTAAATTATAATTACAAATTTAGTAATCCCTCTAAAATACTACCTCCGTTAATTATTATGTGCAACAAAGGGGTAAAATAGTTTTTTGTATTAACGGAGTTATTATTATGGATATTCACTATCTATATCCTATTTATGTCTTTTTTTTTTTGTTTTTTTTTGGGCTTTGTTTTTTGGCATAAATCCCGTAATTTGTGGGATAATCAGACATTCAGAAACTCAAAATTGCTTAATAATTGAGTAAAAAAAAACTTATCAGTCTATGAATAATTGTGTTGTAAATTACTTGGTGATTGACCTGTAATTGAAGTTTTCTGATCTGTGAAATCAAAAAAAATTAATTAAATTTAGTTTCTCCCCTTATCAGAGTATATTTTCATCAAATAATCTCGTCATTTTCCTTGAAATCAAATTATAAATAGTTGATGTCATTTTTCTTTGATAGTAAATTATCAATAATTGATATCCCCAAGCAAGCCAATGGCTGTTGCCATCACTCTGTTCGTTGTGACATTCTTATCGATTAGCCTGCATTTTACGGGTATATGTTTCTTGCCAAATTTCGATCTCTTCGTTCCTTGACTGTTGTTTGAGGTGATATATGTTCATGTTTTTAGGAAGAATTAGTTTCTGCATTGGTATTCAATAGTCCTCTATCCCTTAATTACGCGTCTATTTCTTTTTGTTATGTACGTGAGTAATAAATGTTAGAAATAAACACGTAATTAAGGGACGGAGGGATTACATTTTAATAGGGCTGTGAATGAAAAAGTTTAATTTGTTACGTGATCATATATATGATCCTAAATCATCTCAATTAGAGATGCTCTAAATGACATTTACTCCCAAACTTGTACTAATTTTTAATGACGATTTAATAATGTAGAGGCACAAATTGGTGTATGCTATGGAAAGATTGGAGACAACTTACCGAGTGAGAGAGATGTTGTGAGCCTCTACAAATCCAATGGCATAGGAGCAATGAGACTCTATAGTCCAAATATAGCAGCTCTCCAAGCCTTACAAGGCTCGGGCATTAAACTCGTACTAGATGTCCCTAATGAAAACCTTCGGTCTCTAGCACGTTACCCCTCAACGGCAATACATTGGGTCAAGACCAACGTCGTGCCCTTTGCATCATCCATTAAATATATTGTTGTAGGGAACGAAGTTGATCCGTCCTATAATTTTGCCTCATCAGTCTTACCCGCCATGAAAAATGTTCACAACGCATTGATATCAAACAACTTACGAGCCATTAAGGTTTCTACATCCATTAGTACAGAAATTATGATGAGCACGTATCCACCCTCAAACGGACAATTTAATTACACGTCATACATTACCCCAATAGTCAAATTTATAACAAGTAACAATTCACCTTTGTTAGTTAACATTTACACGTACTTTGCTTATATTAGTAATCAACATGATATTAATCTCAACTACGCATTATTTATGTCCCCGGGGACAGTGGTTACTGATCCGAATAACGGCAAAAATTACCAAAACTTGTTTGATGCAATGGTTGATTCAATATATGCCGCTCTAGCGAAGGTGGGTGCACCTAACACGGCGATTGTGGTGTCTGAAACCGGATGGCCATCAGCCGGGGGAGTCGCAGCCACGGTGAACAATGCCGGGACTTATTATAGGAATTTGATCAATCATGTGAAGCAAGGGACTCCTTTAAAGCCAGGGCAAGCAATTGAGACTTATTTGTTTGCAATGTTTGATGAAGATAAGAAACCAGGGGCTATAACTGAGCGTCATTTTGGTCTGTTTACACCTACTAAGGTTCCTAAATATGGCCATCTTAATTTTAAATGATTAATATCTTCTAATACTTTAAGATTCACTGTTTTAATAATAATTACTATTGTTGAACATTTTTATCATGTATTATATTATTTGTATTACAATAAAGTTTTAGGCTCAATTATTTTAGAATAATAACAATTATGTTTCATGACAACCTTTTTTTTCCCGAAAATCTTTAGGTACACACAAGAAATAGACTAATAATTAACGCGATTGCAATAAAAGTTATTTTTGTTGTTCAAGAGACAGGGTTCCAATTGTCACGGATACTTGACGAACAAAGGCACCATATATATGAACAAATCAACAATAATGATGTTGGTGTATAGCACGGAACATAAATAACCTATGCACCGATGGCACGCATCAACAATGTAAGTACTGGGAGAAAGTGAGAAACCCCGTAATAAGGACTACCGATATTTTAATTGGATCGTTAAATAGCTAAATGCCAAATTAGTGAAAAAAAATCATTTCTTGTATCACTTGAGTACCACATATTATACGACTAAAATAAAACTCTAAAATAGTCATACGAAATATATTTGAACCAGACCCGTTCGTGGGACCAAAATTAAAAGTTGTGAATGCGTTATCTTTCCTTGGCCTTGTTGCCTTGAGTTGGTCTTGCACCCTTGCCTCGATCAAGTTCCACATTTTTTTTCACCATCATCATTCTAATAAAAGACACTACAAGTATAAACAAATACTATATCCGACCGGTCTAATTTACTCGTAATAAAGGAATATTTTATGTCTCACAAATAATACCCTTTTATTGTGAGTAAATTGAACCGGAAATAGTATATTAAGTTGGAATATAATATAATTATAATCGATAAAATATTTCTCGTAGACCGTAGTATGGAGCAACGTTACGTTGCCATACCTAGAATCAAAATAAGTCACATGACATACGTGATATACTGATATATCAATTCATAGAGAAAATATATAGGATAGTAATTTTTTTTAGTAGTGGTCCAAAAAAAAAAAAAAAAAAAAAAAGGCAATTCACCGTTTTCATGGCCGAAACACGTTCGTTGTTTTTGGATCAACAGCCGACCACGACAACCCTCTATATCAATCTCTCTGCCTACGACTTTCAATCTCCACAAGTTCAAACCTCAATGAAGCTCTTGATTTTATTTTGTTTACTTTATGAAAAAAATATTTATTTGGTGGTTTGTTGGTTAGTGAAAGGGTTTGAGGTGATTAAAACACCAATCTCATCTTATCCATTAACATATAAAACAAAGGGGTTCTCCTCCTGTGATAGGAGGTGGCTTCCCGTATATCTTATTGTTTTAAAAAAATGATAAATTGGTCTGATTTTGTGTATTATAGTCTTTTATATAGCATTTTTGGACCCAACAAGATAATGTATCCAGGTGTGTTCCAACTTTCGAGACTCCAAACTACTTAATTATTACGAGAGACCTATTTGATACCTGAAACTATCTCATTCATGCCTTGACAGTTGACACACCCTTCGCTGTTATTATGACTTAAAACCTAAATGTTTTACCTTGGCCTTGAGTTGGCCTTTTGGATTTTGTATCCAGCCTTGGCATGAGTACTAGGATCTATTTTAGGGTTATTTTTTAAGGATGGAATATACCTTGTGAAATCATAACATTACATATTGTTGAATGCAGAGCATCACAAGTTTCAATCTTTACGCTTTTTGTAGTAGCTTTATACGACGACCACTATTTTGGGATCAATATCCATCCTCATTTGCTTAGGCATGACCACGGACCACCACTGCAATTCATAAACAAAAGTACATCTTAAGTGAGTGAAAAAACTTGTACTCCTCGAGTCTATTCACGTTCAATGCTTTATGTGTTGCAACTCTTATGTAGATTATGGGCATGTTCGGCAAAATATAGCTGTGAAGGTAGCTGTAGCCGTGGAGGTAGCTGTGAGCTGTGTATGTAGTTGTTAGCTGTCAACAGGTTGTTAGCTGTGAAGATAAATAATTTACATATAAGTGTTCGGTAAAGTAGCGGTTGACTAGCTGTTATATATAAAAATCAACATTTTATTTTTAAAACTATAGATTAAATTTTCAACAGCTACCTCAAAAGCTACCTCCAATTTCAAAAGCTAATTTTTCTAACTTTTCATAAAAGCTACCTTCACCACTAAAAGATATCTTAACCACTACTTTGCCAAACACCCACATTTTTTCTCAAGTAGTGATTTGACTTGGTCAAACCACTAAAAGCTACCTAAAAGCTACTCAAAAGCTAGCGACGAACACGCCCTATATAGTGATAAACCCAAATACACATGCCTAACAATTGTTGAAGTGACAAACACTAAAATAAATAAATAAATAATATACATAGCACTTAGGGCTACATATAAGCATTAAGTACACTACAAAATCGTATAAAGTTAGGAAATAAAAAAATATACTTTGTATAAATATTAATTACACTTATTTACGCGTGATTTTGCCTTGAATTCCTAATTTTATACCATTTTCAAAAGTATATTTAATGCTTTTATATATAGCCGTTAGGGATACATATACCATTACCAAAAAAAAAATAGAAACATAATATTTGTCGCAAATTTAGAAAATAGTTTGTACCCTTATTATAATAGGTTTCCTAATGTTTGTCAAAAAAAAAAAAGGTTTCCTTATGCAATTAGGTCTATTTTCATAAAACTTACATATATATATTATATATATTTCTGTTTTAACAAAATCTATTTTGAAACCGAAAAGAAAAAGAGATTAAAGTGCTTCTCATAGATTCTACGACACTCCGGGATGGCATTTGGATGTTTGGAATTGTACATTTTGCCTTTAAACAGTTATTTTATGTACATGTCTCCTTTCATTGACTCAATGCCCTTACAAACTTTTATGTAATCAACTAGTGATCTCATATGGTTTCAAACAACATTATATAACCCTACGATGCATCCTCTACCATCCTGTGAGTTTTCGACACCGAGTCCCAAAATATCAGAAATTGGTCTTATTTTATGTATTATAGCCTTCAAATTTGACCTTCACATACTATTTTTCAAAGCGACAAGATAATATATGTAGGTGTTTTTCAAGGCTCCCAAACAACTATGAGAGGCCTATTTAATACCCGAAACCATCTTATTAATGCCTTAGCACACCCTTCCCTCTTATTATGATTTAAAAATCTAAAATGTTTAAACTTGGCATTGATTTGGCCATGTTGGCTTGCCTTGGCCTTTTGGATTTTTGTATCCATGCCTTGGGATTAGTACTAGGATCTATTTTAAGGTGATTGTTGAAGGATGGAATATACCTTGTGAAATTATAACTTTACACATTGTTGAATGTTGAACATCACAAATTTCAATCTTTACGCCTTTTGTATTAGCTTTATACAAGATGATATGACCACTAATTTTAAGTTCCATTTGGGGCCAATATCCATTTTTCTCATTTGCCAATACTGCAATTCATAAACAAAATATCCAAACAAATTTACATTTTAAATGAGTGAAGAAACTTGAACTCCTCGAGTTTGTTCATGTTCAATGCTTTTAAGTGTTACAAAATGCAACTCTTACCAAATCAATTTTTTCTTTCCAACCCCAATTATAATCACACACTTAAGTTTAAGTTGTTTAGGACCTAACTCTTAAAAAAAGAACCAATCAATCCAATCCAAATTCCAAAAAATAAAACTCATTCTAAAAAAAATATATATATATCCTTCCAAACCCTCCCAAAAAAAAGAAATAATAGATATTTTTTTTTTTGATTCAACTGAGGTTAAAAAACCAAAAAACAGAGCTAAAAACAGAATAGTTCAAGCGAGAAAACAAAAAGCAAGCTAACACAAATAAATCTAAACTGCGGAGGGACTAAGCGCGGTAAAGCCACACCCTAGCGTCCTCCTCTAAAATACTACCTAACTCTGATGGAACGACAGTAAGAATAATTAACTGAGAGTCCAAATTGACTCCGCGGTTGGCCAACCAATCCGCCGCTCTATTGCCTTCACGATATACATGTGCCACTTTGACTTGCCATCCTGTTTCCTTAAGTAACTGCTGACAGTATTGAATAGCATGGGTGCTCTCACCCCTTGGCACCACTTGCTTCTGTAGAGCTTGAACACAAGCCAAGTTATCTAGTTGAACTTCCAGTTTAGAAATTTGCAGATCCTTGGCTAGTTCTAATCCCCTCGTCAGTGCTCTTACTTCAGCTTTGAACGCCGAACAGTGACCAAAATTTGCTGCAAATGCTGACACAAAGCGGCCTTCATGGTCCCTGATTATTCCTCCACCCCCTGCAGGTCCTGGACTTCCTTTAGCTACTCCGTCACAGTTCAAAACATACCAACCAGATTCAGGGGCATGCCAGATAACACTGGTCTGAATTTTCTGGGTACAGTGTTGTTCATCTTTAACTTCAGTCAAGGCCCTACGAGCCTCACCATACCTGATATGCAGGAAGGCACCTATATCAACCAATATTTCATTTCTTCTATTAAAAACAAAGCAATTCCTCCACCTCCAAATCCACCACATCACTACTCCAAAGTAAGTAGTCCAACACTCCCCATCAATAAAATTGGATTGCTTTAAATTTCCTGTGATCCAATCTTTAAGAGTACCTTGGGAAAATTGCATCCAACTATTCTGTGGGACTATTTTTCGCCATATACTCTTGGAAGCAGGGCAATCTCGGAGTATATGCAGAGTACTCTCCTCACTTGCACCACAAACAAAACACTTTGCATCATCCGTAAGCTTCCTTTTAAACCGATTTAAATTCCCCAGGATACGATTGATGTGTCTATTTTATATAGTATTTTACCCCCGTCCCTCGGTCATAATTAGTAGTGTTTTTGGCTCTTTAGAGCCACTTTTATTACTAATTGGTGTTTTCCAGTGTTTTCGTAGATTTGGTTGACTTTTGCAGGGATTTATGCTTTTGGAGTATTTTCCCGAGATATTTTGGAGCAATCACGAGCATTGGAGAAACACGACCAGATTTTATAGCCCAGG